TCTTCTGGGACCCTATTCCCCCTCCACTTCTCTCCCTTCCCTCTGCCCAATCCAATGTTCCTCCATTATTCCCTCCCCAACAATATTATGGATCAGCATCCATTCATCAGAGAAAACATTTGGCCTTTTTTTAATTGGCTTGCTTTGCTTAGCATGATATTCTCTAGTTCCATCCATTTACCTGTAAATGCCATAATTTCGTTCTTCATTAAGGTTGAGTAATATTCCATTATGTATATATACCACAGTTTCTTTATCCATTCATATATTGAAGGGCATATAGGTTGGCTCCACAGTTGAGCTATTGTGGATTGAGCTGCTATAAACATTGAGATGGCTGCACCACTGTAGTATGCTGATTTTAAGTTGTTTGTGTATTGACAGAGGAGTGGGATAGATGAATCAAACTGTGTCTCCATTTCAAATTTTCTAAGAAATCTCCATACTGATTTCCAAAGTAGCTTCACCATTTTGCTGTCCCACCAACAATAAATCAGCACACCTATTCCCCACTTCTTTTCCAGTACTTATTGTTCACTGAATTCTTGATAATTGCTATTCTGACTGGAGTGAGATGAAATCTCAGAGTAGTTTTGATTTGCATTTCTCTAATTGCTAGAAATGTTGAATATTTTTCATATATTTGTTTATCGATTAAATTTCTTCTTCTGTGAAGTTTCTGCTCATTCCATTTATTGATTTATTTGTTGTTGTTGTTGGTGGTGGTGGTGGTGTTACTTTTTTTTAGTTCTTTATATATCCTGGAGATTAGTGCTCTATCTGTTGTACATGTGGTAAAGGTTTTCTCCTATTCTTTTGGCTCTTTTGGCTCTCTCTTCACATCACTCATTGTTTCCTTTGCTGCAAAAAAAAAAAAAAATTAGTTTGAATCCATCCCATTTACTGATTCTTGACTCTATTTCTTGTGATTTAGGAGTATTGTTAAGGAAGTCAGGTATTAGCTGACATAATGAAGACTTGGGCCTACTTTTTGTTCTATTAGGTGCAGATTCTCTGTTCTAGTGCCTAAGTCTTTTATCCACTTTGAGTTGAGTTTTTTGCAGGGTTAGAGATAGAGGTTTAATTACACTTTGTTACATAAAGATTTCTACTTTGCTCAACACCATTTGTTGAAGAGGCTATCTTTTCTCCAATGAATATTTTTGGAGATTTGTCTAGTATGAAATAATTGTATTTATGTGGGTTTGTCTCTGTGTCTTCTATTTTGTACCATGAGTTTACATTTCTGTTTTGGTGCCAATATCATGCCATTTTTTTCTTTTATTTTGTTTTGTTTGATGGTCCTTGGATTAAATACAAGGCCTTGTGCATGCAAGGCAAGCACTCTACCAACTAAGCTACATCCAAAGCCCCTATGCCATTTTTGTTACTATGGCTCTGTAGTATAGTTTAAGGTCTGGTATTGTGTTGCCTCCTTCTTCACTCCTCTTGCTAAGGATTGCTTGGCTATTCTGGGTCTCCTGTTGTTCCAAATGAATTTCATGATTACTTTTTGTAGTTTTATGCAGAATGTCATTGGAATTTTCATGGGAATTGCACAAAATATGTATAACACTTTTGATAGTATGGCCATTTTGGTAATATTTAATTACGCCTATGGCCATTTTGATAATATTTAATTACGCCTATGGAAGATTTTTCCATCTTCTAAGGTTGTCTTCAGTTTCTTTCGTGTTTTCATTATAAAGGTCTTTAAACTCTTTCTTAAGATTGATCCCCAGTTATATTTTTTTTTATTTTGAGGCTATTATGAATGAGGTAGTTTTTCTAATTTTTCTTTTAGTAGATTCATCACTGATATATAGGAACACATTTGATTATGGGTGTTGATTTTATATCCTACTACTTTGCTGAATTCATTTGTTAATTCTAGAATTTTTCCTGGTAGAATTTTTTGGGTTTTCTAAATATAGAATCATGACCTTGGAAAATAGTGATAGGTTGAGTTGTTTTTTTTGTTATTCATATCCCTTTAATTTCTTTCATCTGTCTAATTTGCTTTGCTACATTTTTCAAGAATATGCAGAATCAAAATGATCCTTGTCCTGTTCTAGTTTTTTAGGGTGAACTCTTTCAGTATTTCCCATTTATAATGATGTTGTCCCTGGGTTTAATATAAACAGCTTATATCATATTGAGGTATGTTTCTGCTATCCCTACTTATTCTACATCTATTAAAATAATTATATGATTCTTATCTTTAGGTTTATTGAATTTATTTATTGGTTTCTGTAAATTGAACCAAAATGGCAACCCTGTGATGATGAACCCCACTTGAACACTGTATTTTTAGATTTGTTTTACTATGTGGTTTTCCAGAAGTTTATTGAGAATTTTTGCATCTATATTCATCAGAAATATTGGTATTTTCTTGTTGTGTCTTTGGTATTGGTATCAGGGTGATACTAGACCCACAGATGAATTTGAAAGGATTCACTCCTTTTTGATTTCATAAAATAACTTGAGGAGTATTGGTGTTAATTCTTCTTTGAAGGTCCTGTAGAACTTAGGTGAGAATCCATATGTTCTGGCCTTTTATTGGTTGGTAGGCACTTAATGGCTTCTAATCTTCTAATTCATTGCTTAAAATTTATCTATTTAAATTGTGTGTGTCCTCCTGATTCTGTTTGGATATATTATATGTCTTGAGAAATTTGTGAATGTCTTCAAAATTTTTTTGGAGTATGAATTTTGAAATTAGTTTCTAATTATCTTCTGAATTTCAATAGTGTCCTTAAGTGTTCTGTCACCACCAGATGGTGCTGTAGGATTGCCTTGTTGTCCCCACACAACTGTTCAGTTAGGATCATTCACTCAAAGGAGCTTTAATCTTGCTGGTGGAACCTTTGTGCTCTGATGAGAACTCAGCAGCTGTGTTCTGTCTGGTTGGACTGAGTCCCTGGAGCAGAAGATGTTGTCTCATCTTATCAGGTGCTTCCTGCCAGTGTTCCCCCAGGAGGAAAGCAATTCATTTTTTCTCACTCTGCACTGAGTGCTGTCCTCAAGCACCAGGGCTGAGAGAGAGACTGGGGCAACCATGATGGAGACAGAGCTGTATGAACAGCCCTACTCTAGCAGAGGGTGAAAAATTAAATGACCCCTACAGCATCCCAGCACCAATGTGACAATCAAAGTCTGTGTCCACTGTGAACTGGAGTCCTCCCGCACCTCTTCAATGTTGCTGTTGTTAACATCAGTCTTCATCGGGTCTCAATTCTTAGTTCACATCAATCACTCCATCACAGACCCATAAGAATTTTTTCTCTTTCCCCTTATCTCATTCACTACTCCTATCTGTGTTTGCATGTTCCCTTTCAAGGTTATATTGAGTAAACTGCACTCCATCTGTGCATCTCCTGAATCATCTGCCAGTTTCACCTACTCCTGGAATAGCAGCTTTAGTGTCAACAGATCCTACATACAATGGTAATATGTATGCTACTCAGCTTCAAAAAAAATATCAGAGTTCTGGGGTCCCGAGGCACTTGCCTGGAACACAGATGCCTGAACAAGTACACATGTGTTCTGCACATCTCTGAGCTGCAACCTTATGATAAGCTGATTATTATTTAGTGCATGACATGACAGCTCTAAGGTTTGCTCTGTGTTATATATGGTGCTAAAAAGTCACAAACCAGAATATCAAATGAATGATGTGTGTTCACAAGACGATGTTAGTGGATTTCTGATACACATAATAATTAAATCATAGTATAAAACATATATAATTATAAATTACTCAATGTTCTATGAATATCATATATGCGAAATGTAAAAGCACAACAAATCCCAACTTCACATGCTTGTGACTTTTGGGTGATGCCTTATTATATTTTCAATGAATATGCATAAAGGGTTACAAGTTCCTGTGACAAAAGCCGTGTGGCTAGCTGATAATAGATCACAAAGTTGTGCACACACTAATCTCTAAATTCTATGAATATCCTAGGATGCATGATAAGTGATAAAAAATTAGTCATGGAATTAATGTTACTAATCAGTTCACATCAGGGTAAGGAGATACTCCTGGAATGTACCTGGAGACAGTGAGATTATGAGGGTTCTTAGGGTGGAAGAGAAACATGAAGCAACTTGTGTGATGCATTATGAGAAAGTATCCATTCAGGATTTCTGGCTTTTAAGATGGAAACAGTCACCACCAGCCAAGGAATGTGGGTGACCTAGAATTTGGAAAATGAAAGAAGACAGTTTTTCCCCTAGAGCCTCCAGAAGGTAGCACAGCCCTGCCACCATCCTGAAGTTAGCCCAGGGAGACCCCTGTCACTCTACTGACCTCTGCAAATGAAAGATAAATAATGTGTGTGAGTCCTTGCCTCCTAACTTGTAATCATTTCAATTGTAGATACATATTTCCAAATTTCCCATTAGCCTAATGGACCACTATTTATGAGAAAAGTCATTCATTTGATCAGATTTATGTAAACTCTAACTTGGGGTGCTGGGTCTGTATTTGGGCAAGTGACTTACCCAACTCAGCCAACTTGCATCCTGGAATGATGGACATAATGAGACAACATGAAAGAAACACTAATTATGAACATCTGAGTTGATTTTCCTAACTGATCCCAAGCAGTGGAAATGTTCAGCTCCATGTTATTTTTCATGACACTTTTCATATTTGATTATTGATTCCTGGTGAATTTTTGGCAGAAAAAACAAACACCCTAATTACCACATGTAGTAGTGATATTGATCTGAGCACAGTATTTGAAACAAAAATATCTCCATCAGTATTTCTAGGATTCAAATGAAAAGGTAAAAAGGCAGAGCCCATACCCAAGACAAGTCTAAACTTCCACAAGTAATTTTTAGGAGACATTATGGAACACATTTTGGGGACACTTGAAGCATGTTCACAGATTGAGATGTCCCCAGAGGATTCCACATTTGAACAGGGGTGAGCAGAGGAGTGAACCCTGTGTCACTAAGGTGGACTCAACAATTGTGCTCTTCTGCAGAGCCCCAGCACCTGCTTCCTCCCAGGTTCTGCCCATCAGGCAAATGAAAGCATCACCACCCTCCACACTTTGTCTTGCATTATTCCAGGCCCAGAAGAAGATCAGCCAGTGAAGGGCAGTGGGTGGAGGCACATTTGCATGAGCTGCTCCACCTTGAGGCCAGTGGGGAGGAATAAGAAAGGCTGGGGGCAGCCCACACCAGCTCTGGAACTCAGGAAACTGTCCAACATGGTTGGGACTCTTCTCCTCTTTATCATGCTCACTCACTGCCCAGGTAGGGATAGACTTCTGAGCCCCATGGCAGACCCCTGTCCTGAGTCTCTCCTCATGGACTCAGATCCCCAAACACATGCAGCCTGGCTCTGACTTCCACTATGATGTGTCTTGTGTTTACAGGGTCCCTCTCCCAACCTGTGCTGACTCAGCCACCCTCTGCATCTGCCTCCCTGGGACAAACCACCAAACTCACCTGCACCCTGAGCAGTGGCTACAATAGTTATTGGGTGGAATGGTTCCAGCAAAGCCCAGGGAAGAACCCCAGGTTTGTGATGAGAGTGGACACTAGTGGCATTGTGGGATCCAAGGGGGATGGGATTCCTGATCGCTTCTCGGGCTCAGGCTCTGGCCTGGATCGGTACCTGACCATCCAGAGCATCCAGGAAGAGGATGAGAGTGTCTACCACTGTGGGGCATCCCATGGCAGTGGGAGCAGCTACGTGTAACTCACAGTGACACAGGCAGAGGGGAAGTAAGACAAAAACCTCCAGACTGATGGGCCTTGTTATACTTCACTTCCCAGTGTCCTGACTCAGAAGGAGCCTCCTGACCCTGATTAATAATTTCTACCTTCCCAGATATTTTATAAATTTAATTCACATTAAATATCCCCCATATACAAATATGATCTTATTAGTGTTTGGAATATTAAGTGTATTTGGACATGTGTGCTTGTTCCCAGTCATGAATCTGCTGATGGATTTTATTTTGGAGATTGTAAAGCTGTTTACAGATGTGTATATCATACATTCCTTTTGTCACTGTTTTATGTTAGTTTTGTCCATATTCAGCAGTTAGGAGTATTCCACATAGTGATGGGATTTGAATATTTCCCTTGAAATTCCAGATCTTGACCCCGACATGGGTAACATAATCACACATGGTTCATCTGGGCTTCACCCACTTTGCCACCTTCATACACTTACATATACACAGAGTTCTCAGGGTGTTTGCTTCTGACAGAGGGAGAAAGTGCCAGAAACAGAGAGAAAGTGTGCAACACCCAGGATGTGGATTTGAGCCTGCCCTGTAACTGAGGCACCTTTGGGAGATGCCCCTTTGTTCTCCATACAGTAAATTTATTTGCATGCAGAAAAATTACTCTGCAGCAGGTTTATGCTGCTAATCACCTAGACCAAGGTAGATATCACAGGTTAATACTGACTTTTCTGAGATACCAGTCACATTCAGGAGTTCCAGACAAACTGCACTTAGTATCAATTCACCCCAACTTGAGGAGTTCCCATAAACACCTCAGCTTTGCAAATTCATAACAATTAATTACAGAACAAAATGAAAGCTCTGTTCTTTAGAAGATCACAGTCTTATTATACAGAAAGCAAATCATATCAAGTCAGATAAAGGGACAGAGAAGTCCACTTCTGGTAGTTCACAGCTTGAAGCATTCTTATATTCAGGTTGCCTCACTCTGCTAATAGATTTATAGGATTACCCATCATAGAGGATCACTCAGGAAATGAAGATCTAGAGTAGTTATTGAGTCTTTATTCCTTAAACATAATTCTGTTGAAGTAAACTCAACATCCATCCCCCTCCACTTCATGAAGATAAGGATTGTTCTGATAGAGTGCACTCAAAGCTCCAAATTTGTAGTAATCTACTTGGTCTTTCTAGAATTGTCATTCTTCTTTCTTAACCTATTTGAGGACAGACCATGAATCAGTTCCTGAGCATAAACTCATGTGGGGTCCCTGAGGGAATTCCTAAGATGAGAGCCAGGAAAAAGCCAAACTTCACTTTTCATTATGTTAACACTTCATGTACACATTTTCTCTCTAATTAAACCACATTTGGCCACACATGACAGAACATGACCCTTGCTCTGAATAGCTGTCATGATCCATGATCTGTGAAGATTCACCAGGATGAAAAGAAGATGGCAAGTGAAGGATGCCTCTCTCTCACTGCTCAGAGGAGACCATGAGTGAGCAAATATGTATGTGTTCATTTGTGCTCAGACATAGAGTCATATATTAAATTTAATTTCCTCATAATCTTTTATTCCTATACAAAGAACTAAAGTCTTATAGAAATTTATAGGACAATAAAGTTTATCTTGTTAATGGCAAAAATTTGGAGTTTTGACTCAGAAAATCAATTTTTGATTATGTACTTTGCTATCTGGTTTAACCTAAGGAGGTTGACTGTGATGTTTAAATCACCTGAGAAGAACTAACTTTCCTTATCAAAATTTTAAGTTAATCTCTCTTAATAAATAGTTTTTCAGGATATCTGGTGAGATAATTCTCAATGTTGTTCATGATACAAGTGTATGTCGTACTCAAATGCATTAAAATCTGTAGTGTTGATTCTGGTAATTGATCACAATCAAAGTAATACTCTTCTCTTTCAATTTTAGAATATTAGACAGTTAAAGAAAATGATAAAATATGCAATAGTCACATCAATTATAAATTTTTACAGTCAATTGAATATGAAAATAATAGGTAGAATCATCCCCTTATTTTTTGCTATGAATTTCTATGTTTAAATTTTAGTTATGTAAATATTGAAAAAAACTAGTTAAAGTTTTAGGTTTAGAAATTTCCTCATACAGTATTATCATGAAAGCAAAAGTCCACCCAACTCATGATGGTAAGAACTTTTCTAGTAGATGATATGGAGCTTGGTCATCAGTAAAGATAGTGAGGTAGGAGCAAAAGGACCAGAAGGACCAGAAGGACTCAGAGACAACATGGACCTGTGGTCCAGGAATAAGAATCCTCTTTGCAAGTAGAATCTACTAGTGGTTGTGTTCAGGGTATAGGAGGAGGAGTTGAGGCAGGGTAGCTGGGAAGAAACACAATGAGATTTTAAATGGGAAATTAATGTTTATTTTATCTTGATGTAGAAAAGAATCTAAAGGAGTTTATTTAGGTAGAAAATGATTTTATCATACACATGTAAAAAAATATCCTCCTGAATATACTGTGTATGCAATTTTAAGAGAGAGAGAGAGAGAGAGAGAGAGAGAGAGAGAGAGAGAGAGAGAGAGAGAGAGAATAATGAAGAAAGAAAGTAGAGAACAGCTAGCCAGGGTGTCTGCATGACTTAGGTGGGCAGTGCACCTGGACAGTACAGGGAGGTACTCATGAGGAAAGCTTATGCACAGTATGTGGAGATGTTCAGTCCTGATGTCTTGTGGAAGCAAAAGGGCCCTCAGCAGTCAGAAGTGGGCTCCAGAAGCCCAGGATGAGCATGGTCAGGTGTTATCAGTCATATGAGGACAAATCACCAGGACTCTGCTCACTATGTGTTTCTCCACTAGGAACTCTGTTTGTTTAGAAGAGAAATTTTGTTTTGTTTTGGCACTTCTGTATATACAGACCCCAGAATACAGCCTAACAACAAGCAAAAACTGCAGGAGTATCCAGATTGATCATTTTGTTTTAGTTTTTTGTTGATGTTGTTTTAATTAGTTATATATGACAGTAGAATATATTTATGCATTTTGATATGTCATACATAGATGGGATATAATTTCATTTTCCTGAGTGTACATGTTCAGAATCATATTGGTCATGTTATCACATATATACATATAGTAATAATGTCTGTTTTCTTCTACTATCTTTCCTATCCCCACATCCTCTCCCCTCCTGTCCCACCACTTCCCTCTACCTAATCTAACATTATTCTTTCGTCCTGCCCCCAAAAACACCTTATTGTGAATTAGCATCTGCATATTAGAGAAAACATTCGACCTTTGGTTTGTGAGATTGGCTTATTTCACTTAGCATGATATTCTCCAACTCCAACCCTTTACTGGCAACTGCCATAATTTCACTCTTATTTAGAGCTGAGTAATATTCCATTGAATATATATACCATGCTTTCTTCATCCATTCATCTATTGAAGGATACCTAGGTTGGTTCTATAGTCTAGCTATTGTGAATTGAGCTGCTATAAACATTGATGTGGCTGTTACTATGTATACTGACTTTAAGTCCTTTGGGTGTAAACCAAGGAGTGGGATAGCAGGGTAAAATGATGGTTCCATTCCCAGCTTTCTGAGGAATCATCATACTGCTTTCCATAGTGGTTGCACTAATTGGCATTCCCACCAGCATCCTAGCCAATATTTACTGTTGCCTGTATTCTTTATTATTACCATTCTGATAGGAGTGAGATGAAATTTGATTTGATTTCTTTAATTGCTAGAGACATTGAACACCTTTTCATATATTTATTGATCAATTATATTTCTTCTGTGAAGTGTCTGTACAGTTTCTTAGCCCATTTATTGATTGGGTTATTTGTTATTATGGTGTTAAGTTTTTGAGCTCTTTATATATCTTAGAGATTAATGCTTTATCAGAAGTGCATGTGGTAAAGATTTTCTCCCAGTATGTAGGCTCTCTCCTCACATTATTAATTGTTTCCTTTTCTGAGAAGAAGCTTTTGAATTTGAATCCATTACATTTACTGATTCTTGATTTTCCTTCTTGAGCTTTAGGAGCCTTGTTAAGGAAGTCAGATCCTAAGCTGATGTGGTAAAGATTTGGGCCTATTTTTCCTTCTAGTAAGTGAAGGGTCTCTATTCTAATGCCTAAATCTTTGATCCACTTTGAGGTGATTTTTGTGCAGGGTGAGACTTAGAGATTTAATTTCATTTTGCTATATATGGATTTTCAGTTTTGCCAGCACCATCTGTTGAATAGGCTATCTTTTCCTCAGTGAATGATTTTGGCACCCTTGTCTAGTATGAGATAACCAGATTCATGTGGGTTTCTCTCTGTGTCCTCAGATTGACCTTTTGAATTCACCAGAGGCAGAAACACAGAAAAAAAAAAAGGAGGACTTAGGCAAAGATTATGATTGATGCTCATTTCTAGATATTTACAGTTGAGAGACTAAATTGATTAAAGACAAAGGGTCAAATGAGAAACTTGATCTTAGGTTTAGCAAGAGGTAAGAAACATGGCCTTGAGTGAGGGGAAATTGACCTATTAGGATGGACTGGATTCCATGGGTTTATGAGAAGACAATACAGAAGCACATGATCACTCACCAATTCCTGAATTAAAAAAAAAACACAGAAGCAGGTGGTAAAAATTCTGAGCACAGAAGATTGACTCCTTGGGCAAATACATTGAATAGCAGAGTGAGTTGTATAACTTTCTAGCAACATCTACATGAACTAAGAGCTGATGAGATATTCATTAACAAAATGTCAAATCCACAGGTCAAAATCCATCATGGGACTTCCCAAAACTGCAACACTCAAGACCTCAACCCACACTTCCACAAATGATTCTGAGGTGAGAACTTCTGCATACAGAATGAGGGACTTTGGGGCTTGTTGCAAATGAAGAGCTGCTTCTGCAGTAAATGAAGTGCTTAAAGGAAGGAAAATATTGATGGCCAGAAAAGGTGTGAGCTAGACTGGAACTCATTCTGTACAATATGGCATGGGAAGAGCAC